AAGAAGATGGTTTAGAGCAGGCAAAAGGAATCCAAGTGTCCTTCCCTAGAAGTCCATCACCCTTCCCTGTAAGGGCCCCATTCTGCTTGGGCACTGACCCATTAAGGGAGACCTGGGCCTGAGCCTCCACGGAGAGCGGGAAGGAGACCATGTTGCTTTGTGAGTTGTTCAGGTTCTTGCTGTGGGATGGAAGAAGAGTGAAGCCGTTTGCTGAGGGAGGCACCAGGCCCTGCCACCCGCCCCGCGCTCTTCCTTCTTCCAGTCCCAGCTCAGTCCCAGCTCAGGTCCAGTCACTCCCTACCTGAAGATCTGGAAGTCAAACTGGATGGTTTTCTTTGTGTCTCGAAGATGAGGAACAGTGAACCGTAGGCCACCCCAGAGCTGTGAAAGGGAGGAAAGGGGGACTCTTGGATGGGGTGTTCAGCTGTGCGCTGGGGCAGCAGGACCCTGTCCTGCACTCTCTCCAACCCCTTCCTTTTCCACCCTGACTTACACTGGTGCCTGCCTTCATGGGGTTGCCCAGGTCACACACCAGCTGTCGGCTCTGGTTCACAGCAAAGTAGTCACAACTCAGGCTGGAGAAGTTCTGGGGACAGGCAGGCACAGGCCAGTCAGGCTTTGGCACCCTCTGGAGGGGATCACCACTGCAGCCCCATTTGAGAGTCCCTTCTCACCCCTGGGTGTCTGACAAGTCCTGAGTACTCAGCCTCCAGCGGGGCCGTGACCCGAAGCTCAGCCTCATAGGCACCACCCTCACCCAAATTTTGGGCATGGAATGTCAGGTTCAGTGAGTTCTTGTCACCCAGGTACACATGTTTCTTCTCCCTGAAGGGGACACAGGGTAAGGACACTGAAGAATGAATCCACAAACCAAGGCAATGGGGCATGGTAATAACGCAGCTGGACTAGCCTTGCTGACTGGGCCCTAGCTCTGGCGAGCATAAGGTGAGGTGCTGCATGCACAGTAGTGCCCTTAATCTGTCTAGAGTCAGAGAAATTAATGCTCCCTGTAGACAAAGCTGAAACCCAGAGACGCTTACAGATCTCACAGCTAGAGTGTCCCTGACGCTTAGTCACGTGACAGTCCTACTCACCCATACACATCCAGCTGCAGGTCAGGCACACAGATATTGTCCTCACCGCAGTCCAGCAAGATCTGGGCCTGGGGAGCATGACAGCTTTGAGAGGGGTCCTACCACCTCTTTTCCAGGGCTCTGCCTCGGATGCCAGGCCTGTCCTCCCAAGTTCTTTCCTTACCTTGTCCTCGATCCGACTCTTGCTCTGGTAGTGTAGGACTGGCTGGAGGCCGTGGCTGTCCATGGGGGCACTGGGGTCCAGGGAGAAGTTGAGGGCGATGTGAATCGGGGAGAGTTTGTCTCGGAATTCTGACTCATTCTAAGGAGAGCATGCACAAGGTCAGGGACTCTGGGGCCTCAGTGGCCTTGCTTCTTTGACTCACTTCTCTTTTTATCTGTTTAAGACCCAAATTTAACAATCCCCATTGCTCTGTGGGTCTAGGCTCCTGGTGTCTGGATCTTCTGATAGAAGGGCTTCTTTTTTAGCCTCTCAAGAATCCCATGCCCTTCAGGGGGAACCTCACAGAGACACAGACAGACAAACAGACAGACAGACACACACACACTCAGGCTAGGTCACCCCCAAGCCATACCCTGAGGTAGATCTTCATCTCCCTGCAGTCTTCCCGAGCCCCGTTCTGGATAATCAGGGTCTGGGTAAGGGTGGCCTGCTTGGAGGCCAGGAACAGTGCCCGCCGAATCCCTCCCTTCTGCTTCTGCCAGTCCAGTTGGAGTTCTACCTCAAAACCTGTGGCCAGGAAACATGGTGTGAGTCTGTCTCTCCTACCTGCTGGACTCAGTCCTCCCATCCCACTCCATGGTCTACCACACTCAAGCAGTCTCCCTTACCTATAGAGTTGGGGACGTGCTTTCCAGAGGCATTGAGGCAGAAGCTAAGGTTGATGCTGGAGAAAGATGGAGGAGAAAGTGCTGAGTGTAAGTGGAACTGGACTCCTACCTGCCTCAGAAAGACCCCGACTAGGTTACCCCTTTGTCCCTTGCTGAGGCAGACATGGGCCCCCTGCCCACTGACAGGTTCAGATCTCTGCAGGTTCCTGGCTCAGCTCACCAGGACACAGGGTTTCCTTCCAGGCTGCAGCTGCGCTCCTCTGGGTTGAACATGGAGGGGAGGATGGTGAGAGACGCGCTGGCAGATATGATAGGCCGACCCCTGCAGAGTGGGTGTGTGGTAAACAGAATCAAGGCTCCTCCGAGGGCTGGGCACCTGCCCCAGGACACCAGCTCCCTCTGCACTGACATTCCCAGTCTTAGTTCTAAAGGGATGTTTCTACTTCCCCAGGCTGCCTCAGTTTCCCTGAGTTCATACCTGTATACCAGAGCCTTGTCCACACCAAAGGACCCAACGATTAGATCTGCAAAAAGCCAAGAAACAACCCTTTACAGCAAGCCCCAAATCAGGATCCCTTTGCCCCAGGCTTTCTAGTTTCATGGAAACTCTAGGAGACCCGAGCTAGGGAACTGCACCATCTGGTGGCAGCTGCCTAGAAATGCACACAACTTACCAGGGTATCCATTGCCATCCAGATCTCGGCCTCCTCGAAGGGCGGAGCCAAAGAAGTCTGGGGTATGGCCAGCTGCCCACAGGGGCTGCAAAACCTGGGAAGGCTTAGTGCTCAGTCCTCCTGGGCCTCCGGGGAATATAAACACGACTCCCTGCTGGGTTTCCCCACCAAATGGAGCCCCAATGGCAACATCTGCAAGACATAACACACATTTGTCATCAAGTTAGGAGGCCAGGTGTTGAAATCCCTACCACAAAACCTGCCCCTCATCTACCTGTCATTCCTGTTCTAAATCTCTTTAAACCCCAATATCCTTGGAAAGTCAAGAGGGACTGGGTAGTTAGTTTAGTTAACATAAACCCTCCCCCTAAATTCCTGACCAATCAGGCTCCCCCACTCAGCCTCAGCCATGTTGCTTACCATTGTAGCCATCTTGGTCCAGGTCCCCCAGGGGTGTCAAGGAGCTTCCAAATCTGCCGAACTCATCTTGGCCAGTGAGGGTGAGGGTAGGTGTGGGCTCTATGCCAGCTGGGTGCTGCAGGTAGATATAAACCCTGCCCACCTCCTGAGGTCTCCCATCAGCTGTCCGCTCCATGAGCAAGGGTGCCCCTACCAGCAGGTCATCTAGCCTGCAGGAAAGGGCAGATCCAAGCATCTTGATAACTGTCTTGTCACAATTTATTGCCCCTACACAGGAAATCCAGGCATTCTGGATCCCCAGGCATTCCCTTCTGTGAATCTGAGGGCTCTGATGTAGCATTCAGCCCTCTCCTTGCCCTGACCAATGAGAAGGATAGCATGAATGAGAGTCCAGAACAGAAACTACGAGGAGCACTCTGCCTGCACTGACCCATCCCCATCCTTCCTGCCCAGGTCTGGAAAATGCACCCCTCCCCATCACTCACCCATCTCCATTGGTATCAGTGGCAGCCACAGCATAGCCGAAGTAGGAGGCCATCTGTGGGGACAAAGGACATCACTGGGTCAGAACACGGTTCAGTCAGTAAACAGATCAAGAGTGAGTGGATGTTCAGTGGCTCCAGAGAAGGTTGGAAGTTTGACACTATTGGTCCAGAGCTTAGCAGGCAAGAGAGACAACCTGGAGTAAGTGAGGGTGTCCTCACCTGTTCTCCTGAGACATTGTAGAGGGACTGGATGTCTGAGCCATTAAGGATGGTGACCTGAAGATGAAGAGAAAGGCCTGTTGGTCCTGGATGCCCCACAGTCGAAGGTCTGGGACACACGGGACAGGCATTCCTGGGGCACCTAAGCACTCCTGACTCCTTCCCAGTCTGTCCGCCCCACCTACACGTCTTTTCTACCCTGTTGCTGTCTTGCCTTGTTTTTGTTTTTTAAAGACTTATTATTTTTATGTGCATTGGTGTTTTATCTGCGTGTATGTCTGTGTGAGGGTCTCAGATTCCCTAGAACTGTAGTTACAGATAGTTGCGAGCTGCCATGTGGATGCTGGGAATTGAACCTGGGTCCTCTGGAAAAGCAGCCAGTGCTCTTAACTCCTGAGCCATCTCTCTAGCTCCCACTGTTTTGCCTTTTTCCTTTAAATCTCTTATGGATTTTCATCTTTACCCAGTAGATTCTAGTGACTAGAATATAAGATCGGTGGGACCAGGAGCATGGTTTTGGTTTTTGCCCCTCAGAGACTAAAGGAGAGCTTAGCAAGCAGTAACTGACATCGAATACATACTGGGTTTCAAACCCAGCAGACTCAAAACTTCGTTATCCCTCACCCACCAGTGTCTGCAAGTCCTCACATTTCTGTCTCCTCTTATCCATTGGCCCAGCAGACCTCCAAGTCTCTTGGATCCTGCTTTCTGCCCTGCTGTTCTGCTGAGACTTGGTGTGAGCCTTCCTAGGGCTGCTGGGCATCCAGCCGCTGTGCCTTGGATTTCTCCCACTGGCACTGATGCCAGAGAGCAGATGGAGATTGTTGCTCCCCGCTGTACACCCCGGGTAGCCCCCTGAGCCACTGTCAGTCTCTGTCTCTGGGGGGCCTCCAAGGCTCCTGGTGTCTGGCCCCACGGTCCGTGCTTGTTCAATTCTCCCTTGCTTTTCTCACCCTCTTCTAGCTTGTGGGGCGACAAACTAGCTCATTTCCTATTCTTTGTATTCTTCATGCCTGTGCCTGGGACGCCCTCTTGACCCATCTGTGCAGAGTCATCACAGAACCTTCTCTGACGCACCCTCTCTGGAAAGAGGTTACTGCTTCCCTAAAATGTGTTAGGTTACCTCAGTTGCTTTTCAGGAACTTCCAATTCAGAAAGCGTAGAATTGGGAATATGGTAGATATTAAATATTTATCCAGCTGCCCCTAAGCAACATAATTGGTATCTTAGGACCATAGTTTATGTGCAAATTGTCAAGGCTGTTCTCCACCCCACAGGGCTGTAGTGGGGAACACCATCATGAATGGACAGTGCCTGAGACCTTGAGAGGCTCCATCAAGATGAAGCTGTGTGTCTCATCCCACATACTTGACTAGAGGCGCCTGACAAGATGGGATAAGATATCTCTGTCTCATCTCTCACCTTGCCTTAATAAATGTTATTAATCGGACAGCTGTGTGTGGCACCCATCTGTCCGGGCTCTTGTCATAGTCTAATGATAGCAGCTGGCTGTTGTACACCACCTAACAATTCACAAGTGCTTCCACCCCCTTACAAGTGCCTAGTGAGGTCAGAACTATTATTACCCCATTGCACATGGAAGAAGCAGCTTGGAGAGGTTAAGCAGGGGGCAGTGTAGCAATAAAAGAACAGATGAACTTATCCAGAGTCAGTGCCAGAATTTGAACCCAAGTCTGACTTCACATGCTTCCTTTCCTTGAACTAGACTTCCGAAATCCTATCTGTTTTCCCCAGAGCCTATGTTCTGATCTATTTTTTCCCCCGAGGCTCCACAAACTCCCCTGCAAGGCTCTGCACTTGGTCAGGGTGAGAGGCAGGAGATGGCGGGCAGGGTCTTACATAGCCATAGGTGAGGTTCCCTTTGGGCACACCAGCAACAAAGTCTGCAAAGAGAAGAGAAACTGGTGGGTTGAGGGAAGGACAGGACAGACTCAGAACGCTGAGCTGGGCTATCTCCAGCCCCCCTTTCGGCCTAGCCTGGGGTAAGCCTCACTTACCTTCTGTGTCATCACCACTGAATTCACCCACAGCCACAGAGTATCCTGGGGGACAGAGTGGGTGGATGTTAGCATTGCCTCCTTTGGGACCCTATCCTCTGGCCCTCAATGCCTTCATAGTCAGCCTCCACACAAGTATGGAGGCAGAGCTGGTGGCACTGAGTGGGGGAAGCAGGGGAGGCTGAGTGAGGACAGAAGCCCCTGTTGCCCTCCCATTCTGCCCCCACCTGCTTGCCTACCCAAGTAGCTGTCATCATATATGGAGCTGGCCTGGCGGGTCTGCAGCTGCCCCTGTACCGGATTGATGAGGTATTCTGGGTAATAGGACTTCGAGATCTGCTCTTGAGTGGCGGACAAGATCTGGCCTGGAAGGAGAGCAGAGTGATGGGCCGGGGGAGGTAATAGGGACTTAGGGGAACTGAGTAGGATTTTAGAAGTTTGGATCAAGGAGAGGGCCTATGTGGAGGGTGGTGGAATAGGATGAGAGTCTGGGCGTAGATGTGGAACCGGGAAGTTGAGGGAGTGGAGAAGGGAAGGATTAGTGAGTTCAGACCTAGAGGGGGAAAGGATGTGGTGCCAAGGCCTGAAGAGGGCAGAGGAAGGGCTTACCTTGCCAGAAGTAGCTCCCCGGTCCACCCAGGACCACATGGCCAGTCTGTGGAGAGGTGAGGGGAAGAGGGGATGAGTGTGCCATTTGGTACTGACCCTGGATCCTCACCCACTGCCCTCCCTCCCCAGTCACCTCTCACCTTGGTGAACTCAGCACTGAAGCCCCCTTGACAGTAACCCTGCCCTGCAGCGCTGCTGAAATCTGTGAGGGAAGAAGACAGTGAGACCAGCTGGCTGTGTACTGATGGCCTGACAGGGAAGAGAAGCAGGAGCCGAAAAGGAGACCAGAGAGTCCCCTGAGCAGCCTTGAAAATGTTTATTTTGCTGCTTGGCGGCCACGAAGAGAAAGCCCTGAGCACCGGGGATCCTCACATGGAAATAGTAGGTCACGCCACTCTGGCCCCTACCTGAGCGGCAAGGTGCATACTCCAGAATCCTGGTGAAGTTGTCTGTGGAGAGGTAGCAGGTGCCCACGGGGTCACTCTGTGGATCCTTTTCTGTGCGCCAGCTGTACAGTGGAGCGCATGCCTGGGAGGGCCCAGAGGGTGATTTCAGGTTTAGCCCAATAAGAACTCCCCAGCCAGGCCTGGCTTTCTCCACCACTGCTCAGCTCTTAGGCACCACACCACTGAGCCCGCTGGCCCCTCACCAAGATGGAGGAGCCGTGGGCTCGAACCGTTGCCCCGAACCACTGCAAGGACTTGTACTCCACGGGCTCCTCTCCCTTGGCACTGGACAGTGAGGACTCCAGGATCCGGGAACCTGGGGGAAGTTGAAAGGGGGCTGTCACACTGGTTCACAGAGAGGCAACCCTCAGCCTTGGCCCAGGATGCTCAGCGTTTCTAGACCCTGAGCCCTGAGCCCTCCCCAAGTTGTCTCCTTGGTTTCTCTGGTTTCCTCTTAGCTGTAACAGGACACTTGCACTGTGGTGCTGGGGAACTGGCGAAGTCCCATGGCTAACTTCTGTCTGTACACCAGCCCTGTATCTGCCTCCAACAGCCTCTCTGTCCACCTCCTCACTAGACCTTCCTTTCTGTCTCTTTCCAGCCTAAACTCTGCCCTTTGTACCACCGCCTTTCTCGCTCTTCTGTCTCTCCACCTGTCTCTCAGGCTTTTTATTTATTTGTTCATTTTTAAGACAGTGTCTCATTTGTAGCCCAGGCTGGCCTTGAACTTCTGACAATCTTTCTGCTTTAGCCTCCTGGGTGTCCTTAGGCTTTTAAAAGCCAGTTTGTTTAGGAACTGGAGGTTGTAACTCTGTGGTACAGCACATGTGTGTGTGCATAATCCCTAGCACCCTTTCAGAAATCAGCTAGCCTCCATGTTTTTTCTTCTCTTTCTTTTCTTTTTCTTTCTTTCTTTTTTTTTTTTTTTGAGACAGGGTTTCTCTGTGTAGCTCTGGCTGTCCTGGAACTTGCTCTGTAGATCAGACTGGCCTCAAATTCACAGAGATCCAAATGCCTCTGCCCACCCTCAGTGCTGGAACTAAAGGTGTGCTCCACCATATCCGGTTTGGCCTCCACATTTTCATGCTTACCTCTTCTTGCGCATTTACCTCAGTCCTTACCTCTGATGATAGACTGTCTGAATTCATATCCTCGATCTCTTACTAGCTGAGTGACTTAACTTCTGCTTCCTCCCTCACAGGATGGGGATACTAATTCAGTTGCTGTAGGATTAAGTGAGCCAAGGCACTCACGATAGTGCCTAGCATGGAGCAAATGCTCTTGAGTGCTGGTTGAATAGCCTCTGCTCCCTCAGGTCCATCTGCTTGAGGGCTGAACTCCTTGTGGCAAAGGCTGAATCACACGATAGCACTATCACTTAGCTTAGGAACAGAACCCTCTTCAAGCCTCTTCTTCTGTCTTTTGTGTTATGGCCCTGGCCTCCCAGAGTTGTGGGTGATTCAGTGGAAATGAGAGCCACATGTTTCTGAATCATGCCCGCCCTCCTTGGGCTGGGCTGGGAACGTGGAGTAAGTGCCACAGGGAGCCCACAGCTAGGAAATGGAGCACCAGAACTACTGCTAGGAGAGCACGTGGCTCTGGTGCTGAGGCTGTACGCCTTACAGCGGGAACCCCAAGCCCCATCCTCAAGCTGCAGGCCCACCCACCCACTTACTCTGGGCCCCTCCCTGAACTCTTCCAGCCTACCTTTGCTGTCAAACTGGATGGTGGTGCACTGGGCAGGGCTGGTATCCCAGGGACACACGTAGACAGCACCACCCTGCAGAACACCTGGCTGGCTAGTGTTAGCCTTGGGTGCTCCCACCAGCACACTGACCCTGTGGAGGGGCAAGGAGAAGCGGATTAGGAGGGGTCCTATTTCCAGGTCAGTTTCGGGTGGCAGGACGCACCCAGACCTTTGGGCCCACGGATGGGGGTGGGGTAGATGTCCCCTGGGTTGTATTTATATCTCAGGAGATGCCACAGATGCCAGAGGCAGGGGCTGGGGCCAGGCGTTTCCCACGTGCTGCTGTCACTAACCCCGCTCCTCCCCTCCTCCCACATTCTCCTACTTCTTCTCCTACCAGAGAGAAGGAGCCAGAGTCAGTTCCTGGAAAAGGAACGAGGGACAGAGGTCTAGACTCCAGCTTCTCCATTTCTTCCATCTATCTGCCAAGGTTAGATGCCCAGACCAACTGAGGCTGTGGACCAGAGGTTGAGGGTGTGCTTGGCACATGCAAAGCCCTCAGCATCAGGAAAACAAAACAAAACAAAACAAAACAAATAGTACCAAATGCAATGCATGTCCTTTGGTTGAAAGTGGATTAAAAATATATATTAAAGGGACAATTTAGTCCTAGAACCCCAGGCTCCTGTGGAGTCTCAGGGTCCTCACCTATTGTGTTCCCTCTCTCCCCAAGCCAAATTTTCTACCTGGGTCGGAACCCAGGCAATTGGCCACTTAGTCTTGGGGCATGTTGGAGGAAAATGTGAGTGTTGGAGAGGAGCTGGAGCACTGTGAAAACAGGCTGTTTCCTGGGCCTGGCTTGCCCCACCCTGTGGCCCAGAGATCTCACTTTCCTAGCTGGGACTCTGCCTCGCTTGTACCTCTTTACCACAAAGCAGCCCCAGAAGACTGAACTCAAATCTTGTTCTGTTGGATCCTCTTCCTGGACACACATGCCCGAGATGGGGTCCTCCACCAAGGGAGGGCTCCTGGAATTCCTCCTCTACCAGCCCTGGTCCCTTGCCTCCAGGTCCTCCACATAGCCTGTTCTCTCTTGGCGCTTCACTCAGAATCTCCTGCAAGGACTGCATCTGGCAGCCTGGGCAGCTTTCCCTGGCACCCCAGCTCTGGGCCAGTGTCCCGGCCAGGCTTGGCCTCTGCTCTCCTCCCCCGCTGCCATTGGCATTGCTCCTCAGCCTCTCTGCCTGTCTGTCCCCAGTCCTGCCTGCTCTCTTGATTTAGATTTCTGAGTCTCCTCCTTTGAAAAAAAAAAGTAATCATTTAATGTGTATGGATATTTTGCCTGAATGTCTGTGTGGCGTGTGGGTACTCGGCTCCAGGAGGCCAGAAGAAGGTATTGGATCCCCTGGGACTGGAGTTACGAGTAATCCTGCCATATGGGTGCTGGCATTGAACCCTGCAGCCAGCGCTCTTAACTGCTAAGCTGCTTCTTCCTTCTCTTTTGATGTCAGATCCCTGGTCTCTCCACCTCTAATGGTTTTTGTGCCCTTTCAGGTTTCAACACCCCCAACACCTACCCCTTTTCTTGCTTGTTCCACAGCCTTTATCACTAGGATTGTGGGCTCAAGAAGGGACTTAGCATAGGTCACAAAGGCAAGAGTGTCTTCCAATAGGGTTACATATACTGAGGGGGAGGGTCAGGGTCTAAGAAGAATAAGTGATGGGATCAACAGGGAAGGAAGTCCCTAGGACACCAATGGAGTATGGAAGGTGAGGGCCCCCAACTGGATCAGGCCCTCT